AAAAGAGAATTTTATCTCACAAAAATTCTGCAATCTCTATTAATTAAAAACAGCTGGTATCCATTTAAAAGGAGGTGCCACTGAAGCCGAAAAGGTCAAGTAAAAATTGTCCCACAAGGGCCATAACCCATTTAAATCCTCAACCTTATCTTCAGAGATCCTTGCGTTTATTTCTAATCAAATTATCTACATCACAACACAAATCACACAATTCAAGCTTTCATGAATTATTTGGAGCTCAATATGAAAACATACTAAATTTGAAGCATCTAAAAATAGGTGGATTAAAAAACCCAAAGTACTTCTGCTACATGGAATAACTTATACCATGAAGTCAATGCCATTTGAAAATGTAAAATTAAACAGTTAATGCTCTTCTCATTCCTCTGCAGACGTATTATTAAGCATGGATACGGATAAGATGATACAACAAAACCTAAAATAGTAGGATATGAGTACGGCTAGGATTATGTTTGTTGAAAAATAATTATTTTTAGTATTGTACTATACATAAGCTCAAAAATGATGATAAACTATTTGTTAGGAATAAGGTATTATTTTAGTCTTTTTGTTCTTTTCTTTTTTTCAGCAGGTCTTACGTAACTTTCATTTTAATATCAAATCTAAATTGTTTATATTGCCATTGTGCTGGTCCCTTTCACACAAGCGTTACATACAAATGTAGTATGTCAATTTACTTGCTTGTTTAATTGTTGAAATCCAATTTTAATATCATTATATTTTCTTATTTATCTTGCGTTTTTAAGTACAGATATGAATATAGGACACGTACACATTAAGGGCATGTCAATTCGATAACTTCTAAAAACAATTAGGGTACTACTGTAATCTCACTATTTTCTTCTTCTTTAAAAGTAAGCAACGTATTGAAAAATTATTCGTGTATTTATACTGACAATTATATCAATATACTTGAATTATTGCAATCTCAAATTCATAATAGTTCGGAAATGTGACCTAGAGTATTCAAAAAGTATACTACACTCTCAAAATTAACAAAAAAATAAAACATCAAATACGTTTAGGAAGTATCGGATATGTATCTGCAAGTATTCTAAAAGTATTGGTATTCGATATAAACAGTGGCGGAGGGAAGGGGGGGGTCGGGGGGTCTTGACCCCTGCAAAGTCAACAAAAATCATACATATATATATGTTAAATATATATTTTTTATGTAATCTCTTAACAATGGCCTCCCTTGTTTGTATTCACCTCTGGTCTTCTTTCCCTCCCATTTCAAAGATTGGGCCCCACCTCATCCAATGATACAAACAAATATCTGTGAATGAAAAAAACTAAAAAACTAGCCTTCGCAACAAAATGGAAGATGAATTTCTTACAGATTGTTTGGTTGTTTACATTGAGAAAAAAATCACAGAAAATTTTAGCTCAGAAATGATTATAGATGATTTCTATTATCTGAAGCATCATCGAGCACAACTTTGATAGGAAATTATGTGCCTTTTTGTTAGTTTTACAGTAAAGGAGACTAGATATAGTCATTTTGAAACACACTTTTTGTTATATCATGGTGTTAATATATAAAGAATTTTAATCTTTGTTGCTTCATAAATGGTTATAGCTAGTGGATATTTATTTATTTATTTATTATTTAAGTCCACATTTATAATATTAATTTGGCCTCCCCAATTAAGAAATCCTACCTCCGCCCCTGGATATAGATACAACTCCCAACAAATACACCATTGTGAAAGTAAATGGCAATTAATTCTCATTCACTGAATCATGCCATTAGTGTTAAGCTTCATATGAGTCATAGAGTACAAACTTTTTCACTTTGACACATACATTCCAAATAATTTTATGAGATGCAAAAGATTGTTTCATTTAGATTACCAACGATCATATCATAAAAGGATTTGCAAGAGAATAAATCCAAAAATGAAAAGGATTTACAAGAGAATAAACCAAAAAATGAATAGCATGCTGTCTTGTCAATATGCTCTCGCCTCAAGGATGTATCATCAAAGAATAGATAGCACAAAAATCAGTTCGTTCATCTCCCAATCATTAAGAATCTCGAAAATTAAAATTTCCAAGAAATTGGAGACAAGAGGATGCCATAAAGGCAATGGATGCATCATAAGAATTAGATAGACGATACAATTGAGGGATTAAAGTATTACATGAAGCCTCCACTATCTAAACATCCTCTTGAAACAAATATCCTTTCAACACCAAGGGGTTGGCCATCAAGGCCTAGGGCTTTGGGGGTGTGCTTCCATGGTCTCAGATTCGAAACCTCTTAGGCGCATACAATTTCTCAGGGCCAGTCCATATGACTTTGCCCCGGCTTTAATTGGGCCCCCCACTAATGGACAATGGCATTGGTCTCCTGGATTAGTCGGTCCATTGGGCCGGATACTGAGTTATCAAAAAAAAAAGAAAAAGAAACAAATATACTTTCGATTTTTGGGGAGAGAAACAAGTAAACTGAGAAAAATAAACTAGACCTTGAGAGATGCATTCCCACCAGATCTGAGAATTCCTCTAGTAACCACATTAGAGACCCATCCATTGACCAAAATCCCATATTAGCGCAGACCTGGTTGTCTTTGTATTTGAAGCAACTGGATCACAGGATGGCAAAACAGTAATTTTGTGTCTGGACCGATGTTGGCAGTTTCAACCTGAAAAGCCCAACATCAATTGAAATGGTCCAACGGTCAAAACTCATGGCTTCGTCATGATCAAAGGCAGTTTTCATATGGATTCCTTCGTTTTGGCCTCCAATTTTTGCAAATTTTCCGTTTTAGATTGATTACTTTCTCTAGAAGATTTTGTTTTTAGTGTTGTTTGTTTTGGCATGTTTCTTTGACTTTCTACGTTTAATTCAAACTCGTCATTTTTGGTATTAATTTTTTTTTTGTGTGATTAGCAAGTAATTAGGCTAATTGATCATTTCTTTTTGGGTTTAGGACTTCTCTTTATTATAAATAAGAGTTGTATGACTTATGAAAAATCAGTTTTGAGTTGAATGAAATTTCAAATCAGTTTTTCTCTTTTCTTCTTCCAAACTTTGGGTATTCTTTATGAATCAACCAATTGTTGATGCCTTTGATCCCGATATTCCTTGTGAATCAACGGGTTTGAAGAAGGGTTTTGTTTTCAGTATTCATTTTCGAATCAATGGACTCAAAATCACACATTTCCCTATATCACACACTTACTATTAATGACATAATGCCTCAAAGATTCAGACTCCGTAGGACATCTTCATAACCACTTTCTTAGCAAAGATGAATTCTTGGTTAATTGTGGGAAGGCAAACCACATTCCAACTAATCAAATGATTTTTGTTCCCTTATCACAACTTTCTTACAATAAATCTCCCATCAATTTTTCAATCTTATCTTCTACACCCACTGGAACCCTTAAAAAGTTGGATAATAAATGGGCACAGTAGACAACATAGACTGAACCAATGTATGCCTGCTACTCCTAGGATATGACTTCCCTCAAATCTTTTCTCAATTTTCCCAATAATGAGACTCCAAAAAAATTTCGGTCCTAGAATTATCCCCCAATGGTAACCCTAAATATTTTATCTGCAAAAACTCAATAGCATCCCAACAGACCAGCCAACCTTTGTAACCCATCCTGTTGAAAGTTAATTCCCACGATGGTACTCTAGTTATGTTCACCTTTAAGTCCATACACCTATTCGAAGATCATCAAAATAGATAATAAATTAACTATTTTAATTTCCTCACTAGGGTAGAAACATTGCTTTTCTTTTCTTTCATTTTTACTTTATTTGCTTTCTCATTGGAAGTTATTCTAGTTGCGGACAGTCAAATTTATCTGGAAGACAACCTTCAACTTACATGGAATGATAAAGAAATGTTGAATAGCTTTGTGATGTTGGTGGCATTGCCTTCTGCGAGATGTCAGAAATTTTTCATATGCAGATATTTCCCTAGTTGGATGTATGATGGACTTGGAGGAAGCCTTAGTGCATGACCTAGAATTTGCTATTATATTAATGTTTTAGGTAAATTACACTAACCTTCCTTAAGGTATAAGGAAAATGAAATGAGTCCCAGAAGTTTGAAACTATTACAATGTGCTCCCCTAAGGTCTAAATTTTCATGACACTGTCCTCTTACCATCAATTATACTGTTAATAATATGAATGAAAAATAATGTTGCTATATTTTTACACTGAAATGGATATTTTACATTTTGATTTTGTATATGTTCATACACCAATTGCATTAGTTATGGGTTTTTTTTATTTATTTATTTATTTTTATTACCCTTATTAAAAGAGAGGCCGGTGCAATTATAGCAAACTTTTGGGGTTTATAGTAGTTTTTTCAAACCTCAAGGTCAGTGTAATTGATATTTTTTCATTATAGCTATTTGCTTTTATGTTCTTGATTGGACACATAGTGGGCTGTTATTTAATTTTGGATCATTGGATGCAACATATGTCAGGAACTGGCAAATTTGGTAGTCGACCTGCCAACCCATTTATACATATTTAATGGACTGTGATCATTGATCTGTGAATTGCCAGTTTTGGTTGTTTGCATTCATGTCCAGATCTTGAATCTGCCTATTGGAGAAACCAACTGTAGTCTGTTTACATTGTTGTGTTTTGATTCCTATTTATTTTTGGTGGTTGCATTCATTTTCAGATCATGAATCTGCCTATAGGAGAAACCAACTGTAGTATGTTTACATTGTTGTGTTTTGATTCCCTATTTATGTTTGGTGGTTGCATTCATGTTCAGATCATGAATCTGCCTATTGGAGAAACCAATTGTTAGTCTGTTTACATAATTGTGGTTTGATTTCCAATTTATTCTGTATCTATCATATTTAGCTTTTTATAAATATGTACATCCTGCTTCTCATTTTGTTTATTTTTCTACTCTTTCATATCTTCCTTGTGACAATGTTGATAATAAACCTAAGCTACTCCTTTTTTCTTTTTTGATTATTTGCTATAGGGTCATCTGCACACATACAGATTCTGCGACAATGTTTGGACCTTCATCTTACAAGATGCAACGTTTAAGACCGAGGAATGCCAAGAGACCGTTGGTCGGGTTAAGATAGTGGCATGCGACTCCAAGCTGCTCACACAATGAGATCCTGAATGTGTCCAACTGAGGAGATTTAGTTATAATCTGGTGTAGCTAAGGGTATGATAAAGAGAAGTGGGGTTTGATCCGATCAACTTTGCAGTTGCAGGCAACGGAGGAAGTAGATTTGAACACAATTTGTAGAACCCATGAAAACCCCGAACAACTGTTATAATGTACTGGATATTGCTTGATCCATATTGCATGAATTTCTTCAGTATGGAGTTTGATAATTGTTATTGCCTTGGTTGTCTGCCTCCGTAGCTAGAACTTCTGCGGTAGATTCTTCTTTTCAGTAATGATACATGCACGGAAAAATGTATGTATCATACTCAAAATGATTATTGCGTGGTTCACCTTCATTTTAGGCATGGTTCTCCATTGTCTGATGATCGGAATTGTTTGTTTTATAGGGTGGTTTATTTTTTAAGTTTTTGTGTAGATTATTTATGAAAAAATCATATTGATATATTTATTGTAGTTATATAACTTTATCATTTTTTTAAATAGGTAGATTTATTTTAAAATCATGTCTACTTTTTTGAAAAGTAAATATGGAATATGTGTTTACACTTACAGAATTAATTTTAATTTTTTGTGGATAATTTATGTTGAAATTGAATTTGGATGGAATTTGTAGTGAGTTTCATGAATTTCACTGAACCGAACTTCACCAACGGCCTTCTAGCTGAGCGGTTTAACTTGCCTCTCATGTGGAAGAGGGGGCGAGAGTTGGGTGGCATTAGTAAAGGGCTCATTTAGCTTCCAACTCTACAATTAGTCACTTGCAAAAAGTGTGGCTTAGTGGCTCAAAAAAAACATATGAGGAATGCTAGGTGCGCAGAGGATATTGTACACAAAATGCACAATCTTCTCACATGACGTGTAGGTCCGCCCTTGTATTATTAAGGGTTCATGTTTAAAATATCCGAGTACTAATATAATATATTTAGGGTAAATTACATTGACACCTCTTGATATTTATCTTTATTACAATTTTCTCTTTGACCTTTTGAAAATTATATCTTCCTCCCTGAGATTTAAAGTTTTATTACAGATTGCTTCCTTCAGTAATTTAATTTTTTTAAATACCAATTTTGTCCTCACTGGGTAAATTACATTGGCACCCTCACATTTTAGAAATTATAACCCCTCTCCAAGGTTTAAAGTAGTATTACCAATTGTCTAGTATTAGTTGAAAAAAAAAATTTAATTGAAAAAAAAATTATTTGAAAAAAAAATTTATTAGTCAAAATTTTAAATTTCTGTTTAAAAACCAACGTAAACTTATTTTCTGAATTTACGTTTTTTTTTCAAATTTACAAACTGAGAACCATATATAAACTAAAAAAATTATCAAACAAATTTTTATGACAGTTTTTTTAAGTTTTTGTAAATATAAATTGAAAACTGAAAACGAAATAGTTACCAAATAGGCCTCAGATGGTAAAAATATTGTAAAATTAACAAATAATTAAAGAAATTACCAACATAAGAAATGACTTATCAAAAGATTCTTAGGCTATGTATGGTTTGATTTTTAGAAAAAAAAAATTAAAAATTAAAAATTAATTTGGTTAAGAAATAAAAAAATAAAAAATAATTATCATTTTTATATAATTTTTATCTTTCGAGTGTAATAAACATAAACCTCAAGGGGTGTCAGTGTAATTTTTATCTTACGTTGGTTTTTAAACAGAAATTTAAAATTTTGACTAACAAAATTTTTTTTTCAATTAATTTTTTTTTTCAACTAATACTAACCGAGGGGCAATTAGTAATGCTACTTTAAACCTTGGGGAGAGGATTGTAATTTCTAAAATGTAAGTGGTGTCAATATAATTTACCCAGTGAGGGCAAAATTGGTATTTAAAAAAATTAAATTGCTAGAGGGAGCAATCTGTAATGAAACTTTAAACCTCAGGGAGATGGATGTAATTTTCAAAAGGTAAAGGGGGGAACTGTAATAAACATAAACTTTAGGGAGTGTCAATGTAATTTACCCATATATTTAACTGAGAGTTGTGTTTTTTTCAAGTTAAAATTTAAATTTAAGAGAATTTGGGAGGAGTCGTGGGGCCTATTATGAGTCTTATTTCGATATTTTGAATCGTTTATTTTGTAAAACTCTTAATGTAAATCATTCATAAAAAAATTAGATCAATTTGATAATTATAATTTTTTCATTTTATCGCACTTGTCTTTAAAAAAAATGGATGACAATTATAGTTTTAAAAATAGACCATCCATTTATTTTTGGAGACAAATACAATATATAAAAAAAAAAGACTATGATTATCGAATTAACTTAATTTTTTTATAAATGATATACACAAAGGGCCTTATAAGATGAACGATTCAGATCATTCTTAAGTTCTCTTCAATTTTAGATTTGAATTAAAAAAAACCCAACTCTATAACTAATTGTGTCAATTATATGGATGCTCACTTGACTTATTATTAATTGTGTCAACCGAACATGATAGCATAAGAATTTACTTTGAGATTATAAGCAAATTGCATTATTATATTTCAATATCACATGCATAAAAGTAATGTTTCATGGCTAGCCTAAAAAATTACTCTGTTTTAGGATATGTTTAACTTACATGTTATATAGATATTTAAATCTAATTCAATGCAGGAGAATAAAACATTTCAGATTCTCTTACTACCAAATTTAAGTGGTACTTGGATCATGCGGGTCAATAGTGAGTTTGTTACACAGGCTGACAAGATATGTTTGAGTTATGTGTGTTCAATTCAAACATGATCCGTTAGTATTTGTATCGTCAAGTCGTGTTAAAAAATGACCAATACTAATATTTTAATTAGATATCTAAGTCACCTTATTGGATTTAGGGTTCTAAACGGTTCGATTCAATTTAGTCATGATTAATGAATAATTTAGCACCGAATCGATCTTTTCAAGTTTTAATTGGAAAATTGAGACAAACTGCATGATACAATTCAATTTTATCAGGTTTATATAATGAAAGACTTCACATAAGATTTTAAAAGTATTTATAAAAATTTATAAAATTTTACATTATAAATAAATTATAGTGATTCTAGTTTAGACTTGACCCATTTGATATTTTGGATCCCGGTTTCATTGTCTTATATGGTTGTTTATGTTTTGTTTCTCCTTAATTCTCATTGAGTTTGGTTATTGGAGTGTCTTGGTTGCGTTTGGAACAAATTGATAACTTGTTTTTCAACACTGTTGTTGCCTATAATTTTGTCTCTTCGCTCGAGCGGTGATTCCTGCACTCGAGCGATCTTTGTGAACTCCTAGTACTTTTGCAGGTCTGCAAAAATATTGAGAGATGGAATTCTTCGCTTGAGCAATCTTTCTTGCACTCGAGCAATCTTTCTTGAGTTCAAACGATGGTCTTCTGTTTGTAAAACTTCTGGAAGTTGGTATTCTTCGCTCGAGTGGTCACTTTGTGCACTCGAGCGGTCCCACTTATTATGTTTGGTCAATCGAGCGACCATTCCTACGCTCAAGTGGTCTACGCGTATATCAGTACGTAAAGTCACCTTTTTGGCTCACTTTTTCATTTCTCACTCTTTCTCTGAACATTTTAAAAACCCTAGATCTAGAGTTTCTCTCTCTAAAACTCTCATTGTCTCTACAAATACACCTAAATCCATTGATTTCTCCACCCTTGTGCTTTTGATAAAAAGGTAGAACACCTCGAGAGCTTTCTTTTGATCCGAGCAAAGTTAGGTTTCGGCGTTGTTGAAATTTCTCCATTCCTTCTCTTGTCTTCTAGGCTTGAGGTAGGGACTTTCCACACTTTCTTATGATTTTTAACTTAGTTATTTGTTATTTCTAAAACAATATTGAGATTTGGAAATTTTTGGACAAATCTAGGGTTTTGGGTTAAAACTCAAAAGAGAAGTTTTCAAATAGATTATTGAAAATAGTTATGGGATTGTAAATGATGATGAGTTGTGATAACATAATGTTTTTTTACCCTTGGGGTTGATTTATAAAGAAAATAGGGTTTTACCTTAATGATTTCAAATGTTGACTTTGAAAATATAATGGAATTGATGTTGGAATTGTGGAATTGAGTTGGTATAGATGAGGATTGTGGAATTAGGTATGTATTACCACTCACATCTTGGAATTTGAGAAAGTTTATCTGTATAGAAATTTATCTATCTATTTAGAGATATCTGTTTTGGATTATCGGTAGAGGATAGCTATGATTATTGTAGAAATTGCATGAGGACTATAAGTGTAACAACCTCGACCCATGATTAACGTTAATCCGTGCTTAAGTATGCCTAACAAGTAATTAAGAAGAAATCCTGAGTTAATTACGTGTGTATTGTATTATTTGTGTTTATATCTGTTTAATATAGGAAAATATGTTCATGTTTTCGTTTCGGTTTGTGAATTGAAGGCTTTATGAACATCCGATTCAGAAATTGACTTGATTTACGTGTTAATTAGAATTTTTAGAATTTTATGGTAGGTTTAATTGAAATTCGATTCGGAATGATTAAACTAGAATAATTAATGTCAATTAATTAACCAACTCTTAATTAAGCCTATACAATGCTAATATGACCTCACTAGTTCATTTTTGCACCCTCATTTCCTCACCTTCAAGCTCTAAAACGTATGTGTGTGTGTGTGTGTGTGTGTGTGAGAGAGAGAGAGAGAGAGAGAAAAGGAGAGAAATTTAGATCAAAAGCTAAAGAAAAGGGGATTGCTAGAAATTGTTGAAGAATTGAAGAGCATTTAGAAGTTTGAGCCTCTACACTTATGAATTCAAGGTTTAAGGTAAGAAATTAAGCCTTTGGTCTTACTTTTGAGTTGATGAGTTTAAGAATATAAGAGGTTTAAGTGTTTAACTTGAGAATTGAGCTTAAGAGCTAGAAAAGAAAAAATTTGCATTAAATCATGCATACATGCATATATCATAGCATTTTGAGTTTGAATTTCTATCTTGACCTTGTTTTGAGAATTCATCACATTTCTTACCATTTGACCTTAATTGATCATGTTTGGGAAAGTTCAAGTTCATAACAAGTCATATATGTCATGTTCATATCATATTCTTAAAGTTTGGGTTTGAATTTGTACAATTAGCAAACTTTTGGACCTTAATTTTTGTGAAATGGTTTTGAATTCTTCATGTTTTCGAAGTTCACATGTGATTCCTCAAGTTTTTGGCCCAAGAAACCATAATTTTCAACTTTGGAGTTGAATTTGAAGCTTGGAAGCAATTCTGGAAATTACAGAATTCTGCTCCTATGCTCGAGCGAAGGAATCCACGCTCGAGCAAGCACTCTAAGTGCGTACACTTCTACTCGAGCGACCAAAAGTCCGCTTGAGCCTAAAATGCATGCTCCCAGAAATTCTTGTGTTTTGTA